TACGGTGGCTTGTTCCAGCCCGTGGGGAAAAACAGGCTGTCTGCCTGCCCGATGCCATACATGCATGGATGAGGATCACCCCCAGCATCCGCAAGCATCCGCACTTGCAAAAGCATCTGTAGCAGCCCGAACTGAATCAGGAGACTCATGAAGACCATAGAAAATGAGGTCCGGAAGAGGGATCTGTATTCGAGCTGCCAGCCGCTGCTGCGATACAGGCACCACGTGATCGCTAAGGCGGAGTAGCACGTGTCTATTGGCATGGATTCGACCGCTTCAGTGTGCAGTAGTGTGCTGACCTGGTCTTCCTCGTGCTCATGCTCCAACCTGATCAACGGAACATAGAGCCCGGCATGTGCTCCGTCACTGATCACAACCCACTGCCCATCTTCCTTCCAACCCGTCACGAACTCGCCCTTATGCAACTCATCCAGCGGGCACATCTTTCCATCAAGCAGACGATAGTACTTGGCGAAAGGTTCCGTAATCTTGAAATCCGTCGCGTCCTGGTGCAGAGCGACGGTCAAGAAGCACACAGCAAAGTGAACATGCATCTAGGATGCGTGCAGGGAAGAAGCAGCGCAAGCAGGGAAACAGCTGACTGGTCCCTAAAAACATGTGCAAAGGATTCTCCTCACAACGTTTCACATCTGACCAGCGGAGATACTTGTGAGGAGGATCTCCGGCAAGTTGCAACCAGTCTTCTTGTTGCCAGGACCAAGCCCCTTTCAGGACAGCAGGAACGCATTGCCCTTGAACCCGGTCGTCTTGGTAGAGGCCCCGACTCACTCTGCCGCCCGTTTCATTTTTCATGGTGCGAAGTCGAGTTGTTGCCAATACCTTGAAGCGTCCCTTGTCCTCATCACAAGGTGCCATGACCAGCTTCATGTCCACCTGCACGCGCTACACAAGGCGGAAAGACAAGGAACAACGGAGCAGCCACTGAAATGCAGGACTTAAGGGGCGCATGGGCCTTCAAAGGAAGGAACTTGTCCTCGCCGAGCTGTACCCAATCTCGCCCCCGGCTACCCGTCACGATGTCGCCCGACACTATCTGCCCTTTGCGAGCATAGATCGGTGGGTCGTGGACATTGGCCGAGTGCGGAGAGGACGTGTACTGCACCTCCTCGGCGATGACCTCGTACGTCTTCAGACCTCGTCTTCCACCGAGGCAGCTCATACAGGCTTACATGGCACTCGCACGCTTGACGCGGAAGGCTTGGGGTTCGGACGATGAAGCAGGCAGGTTCTGACATAGGTCCCGTTCGCCAGGCCTAGC